ATGTAGTACCTATAGATGTAATATCAAAGCAATTGCACCTGCGGTTTTTAACAAGAACTCGAAAATATAGTTTTTACCAAAAATGACAAAAATATTCACCAAAATTAGAGAATTAAAGATATCAACATGAAATGAACAAATCTAAGAGAGGTCTACCCAAGGTACATATACACCAAGTATCAAAGCATTTAGGCTTGTAGTTTTCAAGAAGAAGTCGAAAAAGTAAAACATTGACACGGACGACGACGACGGACGACGACGACGACGGACAATCACTCATATGATAAGCTCCGCTCGACAAAGTCGACAGCGGAGCTAAAAAGTCATTATTCGGCCATCTTTGATCTGATTATGAAACACACTGATATGTATGATGTATGTGCCAAATACGAATGAAAATGATACATAAATTGTGGAAATATAGTAGTAAGGCCAAAAAGTCAGATGGCTGTCAATCGGCCATCCTTGACCAGATTTTGAAACAAATTGTCATGGACATGCATCCTAACATGTATAAAGTACATGTATGTGCCAAATTTGAATGAAAACTGACAGAGCACGTCCAAGATACTGCATAAAAAAACAAAAACAAGATGCCTGCCAGTCAACCATCTTTGATCCAATTGCGAAATAAATCGCCATGGACAATAAATCCTAACATGTATAATCCACGTACCAAGTTTGAATGACAACTGACAAAACATGTCCAAAATACAACATTTTCAAATAACAAGATGGCTGCCACTCAGCCATTTTGAATTGAATCGCTAAAGCACTGCATGTGCATATGTCCCACATAAGGTACTAGGCACATGAAAAGAATGAACGGAATCTGTCCACAGGATTCTGAAATATGACGCTGGACAGACTGACGTACGGACAGACGAACTCACGGACGGACAGACTCTGGAACTCACGGACGGTCGGGACATGTATCCTAACATGTATGATCTATATACTAAATTTGAATGAAAATTGACAAAGCATGTCCAAAATACGACATTTTCAAAAAACAAGATGGCTGCCAGTCGGCCATCTTTGATCCAATTGTGAAATAAATCATCATGGACATGTATCCTAACATGTATAATCTATGTACCAAGTTTGAATGAAAACTGACAAAGCATGTCCAAAATACAACATTTTCAAAAAACAAGATGGCTGCCAGTCGGCCATTTTGAATCGAATCACTAAACCACTGTATGTGCATATGTCCCACATAAAGTACTAGGCACATGCAAAGAATGAACGGAATCGGTCCAAGGGATTCTGAGATACGACTTCGGACGGACGCACGGAGACCGAATTATAAGTTTTCGGACTTTGTCCGAATGGGGACTAATAAATACTATGGTATATTTCATTTTTATTGGCCTGAGCGGCTTTCATCCATTTACTGATATATAGCATATGTGTCTTGCATTCACACATGTTGGCTATTTAGTCTAGTTTACTCTGAGTGTCGGTTCACAAGCTTGGATCCAAACCATCTGTTTAGCTTTGCATGCAAAAGTCAACTGTCACCTTTCACAAAATAAAATTGTGTAATTTTTTTTCTATATTTTTTTATCAAAACAAAGATCTGAGGCTAAATGAGAAATTAGGGACAGTAAAATTATCACAGAAATTATAGAAAAACAGGATTATGCAGTGTTCTCAAGATACAAACAGCATAGCAGTACGGTACCTCACCAGTGATTAGTTTTATTGCCACACTTCTTTAACACCCCACAGTTATTATCCTGACTGTCACAATGTTTTAAGGAGTAAGTTAATCATTACGATTTCTGCTTTGAATAATTATGCAAATGACATGCAAATTAATCCAGAGGAAGTAGCATCTGTTTTTTTTTTAAAAGACTGCCAATGATGTATGTTCTCCCCAGGAAAACATTTAATGACTATAGCTGTCTGTAATTTGCATATAAAAGATACACTGACTGGTTTCTTCGTTTTGTTTATTTATTTGTTTTCAAAAAATCAAAGCATAGAGGTTACCTTGAACATCATGTGCACGAAGAACGCAGCTTTTGTTGTTTTAGGCAGAAGGTAGATATAAAGGCGAATTACTTACACAATCATATATTGAATAGCTGTGATGTCTGAGCATTTTGGTGAGGAGAATGCATTGCGTATAGAGTTTGCCTGTGTCCTCATAGTTTTGTATCCTGGTTTTGATACTGTCAACACTACTCTGATTATATAATTTAAGGTCATGACCTAGACCAAGAGGTTATCTTTTATTTTGACTACAGAAAATGACATCATGAACCCTAACCGGTATACTTTTTCTAAAATAATGGCTAACAAACAATATTTTTTTTATGTTTTTCGTAATCTCTTCCCTAGTTGGACAATTTTGAATCAAGAGAAAAACAGTGACAGACTTCCATGAGATTTTGCCTCCAGGATAAAATGCCATTGGATTATCAAATGTATAGACGTAACTCATTTTGTAGAAGCACATCACAGCTACGTGCCCAGACAAAACCAGATATTTACCAACACATGTAAACTATTCCTTAAAATAACTGACTACTAAAATAACCCAGTCAATGTACACCTTAAAGGCACTACTTCTGCTGTGCTGTGGGTCACTACTGTCTAGCATTGCTGTGGGAGGAGGGGCTTCTGCAAATCTAAAATCAACAAAGATGCTACCATCATATATTTTGGGGGTTATAAACAATGATAATTATATGAGAAAAACAAGAATGGAATCTGAAAAATCTGGACCTTCAGTCGACCTTCAGTGGAAATACATGTACTGTAAAATGACTAATTTTTTCACTGGGTTTAAATTTCGCTGATTTACTATTTCAGGCATATTCATAAGGTTTTAAATTCATGGTTTTATCATTCAGATAATGTGTTCTATGCTAAATTTTACATATTCACTGGGTTTTAGCGCATTTTCCAGTTAGCGAAATAAGCAAAATTAAAACACAGTGAATAATTAACCCCTTAACAGTTAGTATATTGTTCAGTGCTACAACATATTCTTTTAGTTTTCTCCAAATACCTGTGAAACACATTATATGAAACAATTTCAACATTTCCCATATGTTTATGTATAGTTGACCTTGCTTCAGTGCTGAGAATTAGGGAAATCTCAGAAAAAAGCTATGCAATCCTCACTAGAAACTAATCTACAAGCATCTGAGGGGATTTCCTAAAATAGCCTAATCAAGGTACTACATCTCGTATTACAACTGCTTCCAAAGGAATTCCATGTGATAGTAAACAAGTTACAGCAACTCTGAATATGAATATAAGTTGACCATTTTTTTTACCCAAATACAGCACAATTTTCATTTATTGGTATTGCTAACTTCTACAGTGTATAATTTGTATATAATTAGGGTGTCTAATTTGCATATGATTAGTGTATTTAATTTGTTTATAAATGTTGAGAATTTGCATATAAATGCTGGGAAATTCAAAACTTCATCCAGGAAAAATAAATTTCCAGCAAAGACAACAAAATTTGATCAATTGATACTCTACACGAAAACTTCAGAATATGATCATAAAAATAAATTAATTGATATTTCAGAAATTTTGCAAAACTGGTGTGTCATAGTTGAAATTTATACACATTTTCATCATAAAAATTATATTCAATATTTATAAAAATTAAATCTGCCCGGATTGGAATGCAATCTAGTTTTAAGGTTACAATGCAAAGTTTTGACTTGTATGATCCCTTACATTCTAAAGCAAGTGATCATTTCAATCGTCTATCACTCAGCCAAATCAAGACCCAGACACAGTCCCTCTATCACCGGTCTCGAAACGGCCGCTGTCCTATTGTCCTATTGCGCGTAGCGGGTAAATAAACCATTGACACCTATACGTAATCCGCAGTTGACGCAACTTGTCAGGGGTCATCT